GCATCATCCATGCTCAATGGTGGTCCAATGGAGTTTCACCCGTTTTACGTGAAGTGGCGTCGTAAAACTCGGTGAAAAGCGCGATATTCGCGGCCTGTGGTAGTCGTGAAATCTATTTTTCACTACTGTTTTTCATATCACTAGGGTGGTGAAACTCCAAAATACTATAGTTCGTGAATCTATCTCAACAAGGGCGTTCCAAGTGTGTTCTTTCTGCCATGGTCAACACTCTTTCACCTTAGTCGTATCGTCTTCGACTGCAGCATTGTCCGTTGCTTTTCTTTTAGCAAGGAATTTCTCCAACTCGTTATCCCGCCAGGTTTTGGTACTTGTCTTGGCACTAGCACTGAGGGAACGCATTCAGGATGATACCGAACTCCTTATGCCTCCTGGTGACACTGTGACACAGTACCAGAATATATGTTCGCATTCCTCAGTGGATCTCAGGAGTTTCCTCACTAATTATATGAGCTTGCCCGCGAATTCGTCCAGAAACGTACAAAAACCAATATAAATTTTCCAGAATTTTTCCCAGGATTTTTCAAAACACGAATTTTCCTATTTTCTCATACCTCCCCAGAGTCAACCACTCGTTAATCTCCTGTCGAATCGGACCAAGCTCATCCTCCTCATCCTCGTCTGCTGACGATCCGCCCTTCCCTGCGCTGACTGATATGGTGTACAGATTGTTGGTTTGAATGATCTCAGTGGCCCAATTGAGCCTCTCTCGCATAGGCCCCGACAGACCCTTGACCTCATGCACGTCACGAAGGATGTCCACGACTTTGTCCACCCTAGAACTGAACTGTAGGGCAGTATCAGCACCTACGAAAACATCAGAGATAGAGCCACGCCGAAGGCCGCTGTTAGAGGAATATATGTTCGCTTTCCTCGGCTGAGCTCAGTGATTTTCCCCACTAATTATAGAAGTTTACATACAAATTCGACTAGAAATGTACAGAAACTAACACCAGTTTCGCAGAATTTTCATATTATCATCAACACATGTAGTTGACCGAAGCCCTACCATTCTGGCCTTTACGTTTTTTCCTGCTCCTCCCTGCTTTACGCAAGGCTAATACTAGCCGGAGTAGACGGAATAGTCGCAGAATAGTGAACGACTTGGCATTGCCTGGAACTGCGACCTGGAATATAGGTTCGCTTGCCTCAGCTGTGCTGTAATGATACTATTTTACATACGAATCTGGGTACCGGTGTACAGAGACCAACAAGAAATCCCCTAAAAAATTCCCCGAAATTTTTGATTTTTCTTACCAACACATGTGCATATTTTGAAAATGTTTTATATTGCGCTGAAAATGGCACTGAAATATGCACGCGTTTTTGCGCTGCAGAGGTTGACAATTCTAAAGCGT